ATTGTACTTAGCAGGCTTTCAGAATGAATGTGCACTACTTAAAGTAGTTGTATATAACTTGTCAAACTCCATTCCATGTTAACATTAATTCCTATCTAGTGTATACTTTATGATGCAAACAGAATGCTTTTTGTCATGGATATAATAATTAGAATTTTAACCATGCATTCTAAAATCTAACGTAGAATTACTATCTTTTTTTTTAGTAGGAGCAACAAGGAATATCCTGTACAACATTTTATTTAGAAAAGAAAGTGTTTGATTCAGTTAAGGGTGATGAAAGGGCTCAACTGTTAATGTTTCAGCTGGGTGGTATTAAAACCTGTCCAATTACCTTAATAAAACTGAATTTAGACACATTTGTACTATTGGTTTTTTTAATTATAGTGTTAATAATGAATTTGGTCCACAAAAATTGTCTGATCAATAGTTTTGTTAGACCAAACCATTACTAAAGACAAGGGGAGAAAGAATAGTGATTTTTATTTTTATTTTTTCTGAATCTCCGATGCTTATAAATACTGTATCTAGCACTAGAAATTAAAAGCCACCAAGGAAGCATTCCATTTTTTTTCTTCAACAGAGTTCTTTGTTGTGACAAAAAAACTGACAAAAAGATTTGGCTGATTTACTCATTAAAATTGGAACTCTCTTTCACAGAACAAAGATTGTGTACTTGTGTAGAAACTGACAGCAATTACTTGGGAGTGCACTTCAGTGAACTAGTAGAACTTATATTACGTAAAGGTGGAAATATAGAGCTGTAAACATTTTCTTCCAAAATTATGTTCACTTCAGTGATATTTGTATAGTTCTAATAAAATTCAAGGCCAGAATTACTGAATTTTACTGTGATTCTTATTTTATCAGCTCATCATTATAGCTGCATTAAATGTCATGGAAGCTACATTTGAAATTTAATTATTTATATAAATGATAAAACACCCAGCTTTCCAGGTTCCAGTCCAATAGTTTAAATATGAATGCGTATGTATACATGTGTGTATGTGTGTGTATGGCAGCTTGAGCACCATATAATCACAAAATAATATTGTAAAAGTTAATAAGAACGAATTTGGTATAGCGGTTAAGACACAAGATTACCAACCAGAAGACTCGGATTTCTGCCTTAGGCACAAAGGCTCTTTCTCAGATTTAGGAAATGCTAAAATGCTGCCAAGAAAACAGTAGTCTAGGCAACTGACTCAAAAGGCACATACAGACACACAAAAACCAATTAAGATATACCTACATGAAACAAGCCTCTTTATGGGGAACAATGTGAGTGACTAATTCCCACCTTGGATAAAAAAAAACTTCTATAACAAGGAGGCCACTATAGAAAAGGATTGTGAGAAGTACACATCCCTTGGATCTTTCCTAGTATGGGGCCCCTAAGCATAGAATCCTACTTGCCTAAAAAGGGGGTGTGGATTCCACCTACAGGAGACCATACCCAAGTTAATGGATTGGTTTGGTTCCAGGATGCCTCTAGCAGAGGCAACCCAACCTTGTTCTAGCCTTGCTCAGAATCAGGATTATTATACCATATCTAATTTGGGCAGGAGGTAATTGTAAAATTGAGAAAAATCAGCATATTGATGATACCTTACCCAAACCAATTGATGACCTGTACTAGTGACTTTAATACAGATTTTTAAGAAAGGAGAAAGTGTTGTATGATACGAGACTGTGGGGTTTTTTTAGTTTTAATTTACTTTATTGTCATTGCACCTTGTACAATGAAATCAAACACCATCTTCAGTGCACATCATGACCATGAAAATAAACACAAACACACATCCTTCACCCTTCACACATTGAACAAAAAAGCCCCGACACCGTACCAATACTGCACTATACAGCAGAATTGAAAAGCCCTGGGATAGAAGCTGTTTTTCAGCCTATTTGTCCTTGCTTTTATTATTCTATACCATCTGTTAGATAGTAATAGTTCAAAAAAAGGGTTCCCAGGATGAGATGGATCTTTGAAAATGTTTTGAACTTTCTTAAGGCATTGGGAGCTATAAAGCTCTTCCAAAGAGGGGAGAGGGCAACCAATGATCTGGGCAATGATGTTAACCCTCTGGAGTGCTTTCCTATCTGCCACTGTGCAATTGGCAAACCATACAGAGGTGCAGTATGTTAAAATGCTCTCTATGGTGCAGCGGTAGAAGGTCACCAGCAGTTTTTCATTCAGTTGTTGCTTTCTGAGAAGTCTTAGGTAGTATAATCTCTGCTGGGCCCTTTTGACCAGGGCTGCAATGTGGGCACCCCAGATCAGGTCCTCTTTTAGGGTAACACCCAGAAACTTAAAACTGGCCATTTGCTCCACTCGGTCTCCATTGATAAGCAAGGGCTGGATGTCTGATCTATTCCTTCTATAATCCACTATAAGCTCCTTGGTCTTATTAAGGACAAAGTTATTGTCTCCACACCATGAAAGCAACCGGTCCACCTCATCTCGGTAGGCAGACTCATCCCCCCCAGAGATAAGTCCCACCACTGTTGTATCATCTGCAAATTTAGCAATAGTACTACTAGCGTGAGTGGGAATGCAGTCATGCACATAAAGAGTATAGAGTAAGGGACTTAACATGCAACCCTGTGGTGTACCAGTGTTAAGAATAAGGGCTGAAGAGGTATGATTACCTAATCTGACCCTTTGTGAGCGGCCAGACAGGAAATCCATAATCCAAAGGCAGATTGAATTAGAAAGCCCAAGGTCCAGAAGTTTAGACAATAGTCTACGTGGAAGAATTGTTAAACGCAGAACTAAAATCCACAAAAAGCATCCTCACATAGCCCTCCTCTGTTCTAGATGAGTCAGAGCAGTATAAAGAGTGACGGCTATAAGGTCCTCTGTAGATGTATTTTTTTTGTATGCAAACTGGTGTTTATCAAATGTATGCCGAAGACCAGAAATGATGTGCCAGCAGACCAATTTCTCAAAGCACTTCATGATGATAGGAGTGACTTCCACTGGTCTGTAATCGTTGAGGTTATTGATAGGGAACTTTGGCAGCAGAACAATGGTGGAAGCCTTCAAACAAGATGGAATAGCGAACTGGGATAAAGACCGATTGAAGATCCTGGTAAAGGCTCCAGCCAACTGGTCAGCACAGTCTTTACGCACTTGGCCAGAAATACAGTCAGGACTGGCAGCCTTTCTAGGGTCTACAGCCCTCAGAATGCTCCTCACCTCCTGTTACTCCACAATGAGGTGGGGGCTACAATTGGCTGGTGGTTGTATTTTATCTTTCTCTGATGTCTCCACTTCAAAGTGAGCAAAGAAATGATTCAGTTCCTCTGCCAATGAAGCATCCCCCTCAGCAGGGATGACATTGGTCGGTTGATGGTTTGTAATTTGTTGAATCCCTCGCCACATCTGCCTCATGTTATTGCTATAAAAATTATCCTCATTCTTCCTCTTATAATCAGTCTTGGCCTTCCGAATAACTTTCTTCAGATTAGCTCTGGCAACACTGTATCTTGCCCCATCACTGGACCTAAAGGCCTTGGTCCTGTCCCACAAGAGGCGCTGGATTTCCTTGGTCATCCAGGGTTTCTGATTGGGATAAATCCTAATACGTTTATCCACAGTGTTAATATCAGTGCAGTGTTTGATATAGCACAGAACAGTTGCAGTGTGCACCTCTAGGTCAGGATGGTAAAAGATGTCCCAATTTGTGTTCTCAAAACAATCCTGAAGTTATTGGGAAGCATCATCTTCTGGCCAAGATTTCACTGTCTTTATTATAGGCAGAGCCCATCTCCTAAGAGGGATGTACGCTGGTACTAAAAGCAGTGACATATGGTCTGATTGTCCCAAATGTGGTAATTGTATAATAGCCATGTTTGATGTTGTAATATACTTTGTCCAATATGTTTGCTCCTCTGGTAGCACACTTAACATGCTGATAGGGAGCACTTCTTTTAAATCAGCTTGATTAAAGTCCCCCGCTATGATATGCACAGCATCAGGATACTTATTCTGCTGATTACTAACAATGTTATACAAGAATCCTAAAGCTATAGCAGTATTGGCATCAGGTGGGATATAGACTGCAGTCATCAAAACCACGCTGAATTCCCGCGGAAGATATATGGGTCTACATTTAAGAGTCATATACTCCAGATCCATGGAGCAGTGGCTGTCTACAGTCCATTTGTATTGATACACCAGCTTTTGTTCACATAAAGGCTTAAACCTCCCCCTTTGATCTTGCCAGAATCTCTATTCCTGTCCTGCCGGTGAGCTATGTAGCCTTTCAACTCAACAGCTGCATCTGGAATGAGTGAATGAAGCCAAGTTTCTGTGATTAGCAAAACACAGCAGTTCTTGGTGAATTTAGTCTTTGTAATCTGTAGCCTTAATTCATCCATTTTGTTAGTCAGAGATCTTGCATTGGTAAGAAATATACTTGGAATTGAAGGCTTGTGTGGAAACTTACACAGCCTAAAGAAAACCCAAGCACGGCATCCTCTCTTCCTCTTCCTGTTCCTCTTTCTCTACCTCTTCCTCCTTCCTACAGGGATAGTGATCCTTGGCTCCTCCAGGGGCCTAGCTGCCTACTGCGGTATGTTATGAGAATGTATAAAATCATCCGTAATAGCCTTTTCACATTTCAGCCCAATTTGTAACAAGGCTTGCCAACTATAAATGACCCTTGCCCCACAGGATTCAATCAAGGAAAGGATCCAAAACACACACAGAATCATACATACCATACACTGAAAGAAGGAGCAGTTAGACGCAGCATCCATGTGCACAGCCATCTTGAAAACCGTTAGAATACTTATAAGTTTGACTTCATTTCCCATTGCTTCAGCCAACTGAAAGCAGTCGGAACAGATGAGGAAGGTATCTGAAGGGCAAGTTTGGTAGCCAAGGATCAGATGCTGAGGGCTTTTGTCTTTTTTAACAAGCAAAACAAATGTATTTAAAATTGAGTTAAATTATACCTTTATCCAATATTCCAAA